AAGAATACCACAATATCACAGTTTTTAGGTATTTAAGCTGTCATTAATAATAATAATAATATTCTACCACATAAACACAACGCCATCTAGTCCCAAACTAAGCAGAGCTTTTACTATGGGTACTAGACAACTGATATAAATACATATATACTTTTTTTTTTTGTAAATACATACATATTATACATAGAGACACCCAGACCAAATCAAACATCAAATGTTCATGCACACAAATGTTTGACTTGAGCGGGAATCGAACCCGCGACCTTTGGAATAGCAGTCCGTTACACAAACCACTACGCCATCCAGTCGTCAAGTAAATGTTATTTAAGCTGTTTTAAGTTTATAATTCTTACTTATTTCTTCACTTAGTAGAATATCTTATTTTTTCTAAAACCGGGTAGGTATATTCTCATGAGAGATAATTGCTGTGAAGAAGGTACAATTTAGTAAGCCCTTCTCGCTATATCGCCAAACAAAATTAGACCCGTTCCTTTGGGAACCGCGCCAAACCAAAGCTCGTCTTTAAACACATTCTTTGAAGTGACATCTAGCAAATTGCCACCAAAGCACAACACGTATGTTCCAAATAATATTTGACTCCACTGCTGATAATTATATAAGCGCCATCTAGTGTACAAAATTCAAAGTTCATGAAACTAAAATGGTTTATGATGCTGAGTAGTCCTGTATTGTGTAACATAGATGTCGCTATATACCCCAAACTACATCGGTAAGCATTGATTGCTTTTGTGGTAGTCATTATAGCGTCGAGCCGCGACGTCTAATACCTACTAGGTAATTTTGACGTGAAGGTGAACGTTTTTATGACCATACGATTTCAGAGATTCTATTTATATTATGGTAATGGCATTCGTTGAATGTTAGTTTAATTCTTTGTATTTATTTTACGTATTCAATGCTCCACAGAGTACATTAACATTGTCAGGGCAGAGAAAAGAAATGTTTCATTACTATTTCAACTATTTTCTCGATTAAAATTCGAGCGAATCCTTGCACAGGCTAATAAATATTAATTAACAAAATATCTCTGCATTATAAAAATATGAACGGTGTACTTGTGTTTATGACAAAGCCAGCTTCAGGAAAAGTCTTCAGGTTCCGCAGAATAGGTACCTATACTATTGCAGAGTGCATCTTTGATAGGTTACTTTGACAATCTTGGTCAAGTCTACCCAGACTTGACCCCAAACAACAATTACCCAATTCATATACCCATATTCATTGGGTAATCATTGTTTTCGTTGCATAGGACTAATTACTCTTTTTCTACTATTTGTATAACAATAATTTAAAGGAATCACCTACGAATACACCGAGTTATGACACTCGGGAGTCTTAGAAAAAAATAATCTGTCTTGGAAGTAAATTGGAGTAGTTGGCAATCCACTTTCCTCCTTAGCAAAGCATTAAACAAAAATTCAGCAAAAAAGCCGGGCATATTGTCAGGCAATTCAAAGATATGTAATACCTATTAACCTCGTAAATGCTCGTCATTAGTAATTATTAAGGGCTTATCGTTATCATTGAGGTTTCTGCCAGCTGAATAGCCAGAGTGACAAGTCTTATATTATTTTAACTAGCTGACCCGCGCAACTTCGTCTGCGTCTCTCAATAGTAATAAATTTTCTCCGTTTTTTGAAACATTCTTCATTGGTGCTCCGCTCCTATTGGTCTTAGCGTGATGATATATAGCCTATAGCCTTCTTCGATAAATGGGCTATCTAACACTGAAAGAATTTTTCAAATCGGACCAGTAGTTCGTGAGATTAGCGCGTTCAAACAAACAAACAAACAAACTCTTCAGCTTTATAATATTAGTATAGATTATGATAATTGATTGAGTGACCATGTTATCTATGAAAATACACGTGTACAATCTCGTAATCTCAAACTAAAACACTTGTTGGTAGCAATTGTTTACATAATTGTGCGCTCGAAATAGAATCTAATTCAGTCCAAACAGAAAAGGTGAAAGTTACGACTTCTTTCACTGTAAAAACTGCGATGTCTTAAGGAAAAACAAAGTTGCTGTGTGACTTTTAATTTAGAATAGAATAAACTTTATTGATTCCATGTGGTGACGGATTAAGAATACAGAGTGTGACCACCCCTATTTATCCCGTGGGCGTCGTAAGAGCCGACTAAGGGAGAAAACTACGCAGGACAACAGCACTGCAGAGAGAAGAAAAACTTGACACAAAACCAAACATATTGACGAAAAAGTTGTTTTTGCGCCATTTTGCAATTTTTTTGCACCATTTGCCGTCAATGCAGCACCCTGCAATTTTAGTATATTAATCTACGAACCCTTACGAAAATTTTCGCGTTGGTTGCAGGTCATCAACTCAAAATGGCAAAGTTAAGCTTTCATTGTCTGGACTAATAACACCAATATTGAGAGAGAACGGCTCTGTCGGTGCGGTCGAATATGATAGTTCGCAAGTTTGTACACTACCACAGAGGTCAAAGTAACCCTGTTTAAAGCTTATTGTACAACTTTTTACAAGCTTGTGGGAGAATTATTCGTTAGCATCATATGGGGCCCTCCGGATCCAATATAATAATGCCTTGAGGATACTGATGGTTCTGCACTAGCGATGCAGTGCCTCGGCAATGTTTGCAGCGGCAAGAGTTGACTGCTTTTACTCCACGATAAGTAAACGAGCACCATCATTCTTGTTGCGCTTAAGGGGCAGCTCCGACAGGGTCCTAGCCATGATAGCCGACAGAATGGACTGTCCATATATGACTCGATGCTGTCGCCTACATGCATCTTTTTATAATGTACCTTAATACTAACATTAACCAAGTTTAAATTTACTACTAACAATAGGGAATATGCACGTGACACCAAAATGGACAAAATATTTTTATTTGTAATTTTTATTGCTAAAAAAAGATACCCATACAATTATTTTTGAAATTTATTATGATTTAATAGTGAAATTTAATCATCAAAATTTGGCTTTTTTAAGATTCCCTCGCAAATTTCTAAAACGCAACGCTATTGGTTGAATAAAACGTGACGTCAACCTACACTGTCAAGAGTGTCAACAAGTTGTGTGTATTTGTAATATTTGGTTTCTGGTGATTATTTGTTTCATTTTAAGTTAATAACTAATACGTTTTCAGTGTTAAATTATTAAATTCCCGTGTAGAAAGACTCAACACAATGACTGAATATACTTTGTCAGGTGCAGTTTTGATATTATTTGGGCACAAAGGAACGGCACAATATTTATAATAAGTTTTTATTGGCTTTCCATGGTAATTAGTTAATTTATATCACTCACTTTTTGAACTTTTAGAAACTTTGTGAACTTCACTCCGTTGTTGACATCGAATTCGTTTGAAAGTGTAATCTGACGTCACAAAAAAAGCGCGCTAAAATGGACGTGTTCAAATTGCCCCAAAATGATAGTGATTTCAACAAATTTTTTTTTGCTTTACGGTTTCTATTTCGGATGTGTTATATTTATTTTTGGTAATGTAATAACTAGTAGAATCGTTAAAAAAATAAAAAAATACATGCATACTCCCTATTACTATGAGTCATAGTTACTCGAAATAAAGTATTATTAGTATTGTTATTATTGATAAATCCTTTATGTTAGATTATCAAACGCCTTTGTGAATACTATTCTATACTCCTTGATGTGACCGATGAGGTTATGGAGTGTGGCTAACAGTGCACAATCATGGATTGAGCCATTTCTGAAGAGTTGCGATTAAACCTTTACCTGTACCTAAGTATGTTTCAATATACTTTAAACTTGCTGAGACCCGCGGTGTTACCCGCGTTTGTTGTTATAACCGCGGGCAACGCCGCGGGTCAAAGCTAGTCTAAAAAAAGGAGCCTAAGTTACTCCTTATGTCATCAGCTATCTGCCAGTGAAAGTCCCGTCGAAATCGGTCCAGCCGTTCCAGAGATTACCCGGAACAAACAGACAGACAGACAGACAGACAAAAATTGTATAAAATGTTATTTTGGCATATGTACCGCCTAAACATACATATGCATTTAGTAAAAAGCGGTTATTTTAATATTACAAACAGACACTCCAATTTTTTTTGTTTGTATAGGTGGGTTGTCCTCGAAGTGTTAGAAAATATTCTAAATCTGTTAATAAAATTTAGTAACATGGAGTACATTTCGTTCATAAACGCAGCCGCATATCGCTGAAACCTAAAAATACCCCGATTACGAACCGCGTAAACGCTTTCATACTATTACGAGTACTAAATCCAAAAAGTGATACAATAAAGGGTTACTTAGGGTAAGTATAATATAAAACAATATAATTTATAAAAATCACAGTCGTTTATTTAATAATAAATACTGGTAATTAAGATAGACATAGAGATTTACGAAAAAATCTTTAGCGTAATGAAAGGTACTTCAAAATACTAATTAAATACCTAAGAATGTTGAGTACATACAAGTTTATATCGCCTACGCGTGATGTAAATGAACCGTAAACTAACGTACGAAAATACACTAATCAAGGAACTTAAATGTTAAGTCATGGGACCGATCTCCTATAAAATCTTAAACTAGCCCCTAAGGGTACGTATAAACAATCTATTCTTTATCTGCGTACTAAAAAGCTAAAGTATTTCGAAAACTATTTTTATTAATTATTGTTATAACTACAAACTTGCTATCAGAACCCGTGATGATCAAAGATTTTTGAATAAGAATCGGACTTAAGATCGCCGCACTAGGGTATCGAACCCATATAAGTACATTCATAATATTAAAGCGTAGCTAGCTGTGACAACACTATTTGATAAAAAACAAACTCACAATATCCCTCAAACACACAAAGCTCATCACAAAACAGAACAAATCGCTAGGAATGATTTTAATTTAATATCTCTCACTGAAGTGCACCCAAATAATCCGAACTCCGATTCCATCAAAATCACAAAATTGGAAATAAATTCGCTGACGAAGCTTATCGTTTGTGCACGAATATTTATTGCATCATTTTTAATTTGAACCTTAGAACTAAATAAGAAACTACCCTAATGAAGACGAAAAGAGCGGAAAGGGCTCCAACATCAACCCAAAAGTTTGCCTTATCCATAGTCATTTCCTTCAGGAAAAGATCTGGATGTCTGAAATGGCAGTAATCCTCGGAACAATCCAATTTTCCTCTCCCGAAACCGTAGACTGAGAGCATTGCTCCTTCGAACCCATACCGTACATAACTCAAGTACGTCAGCCATTGAAGATAGCTGGGTATCGCGTTGAAATTTACGAAGAAGCCAGAGAACAGTACGACAGGGATTGTGGTAACAGGTCCAAGGTAGACTCCAGTTTCGATCTTCATGGCAGCACCGATGAGCAAGCCCAGGGACTGAGCGACAAGAGCAGTGAGAATGTTGATTGTGGTGAACATGAGCACCCGGTCTGTCTCCATGGGCTGTCCTGTCATGAAGTACACTATTATCACGTAGACGCCACTGAACACGATCTGTGGAAGAACGATAAACAAAGGGACGTGTTAAATTCGACTTTTTTAATTAAGCTGTTTAATTAGAATAAAGCTTTTAATGAATTCACATTTAATAAAGAGGTGGAGGAACTGATGCTATCTCTCTCCAATCCTTTTGTATTGGAGAGAGATAGCATCATAGACGATCATGCATTGTGCAATTCAACCATTGAAATTGGAATAGTTAAATATTAATCAAACTCAAACTCTCTTTATTTCACAAAAATTCTAAAATTGTTTGAAATCATCTTTTATGTAGACTCTAAAGTCATAGATCAACACACACAAAAGCAACAATCTCTGTTTTGTCAAATAGTTAGCATATAAATTTAATAAATAATAAATAAATAATAAAAAATTAAACTTATACAAAATCTATGATAAGCCTGTGCCGATCTACAACCGCCCGTTTAAAAGGGGTTGAGCCTTATGAAAAGAAAGGGCAAACAACCCCTTGGCTACTCTTTTGCAATTCACAAATAGATACAATGGCATTATTAAATATACCACAACATCGCGAGAACTGTTATTGCGCGATACAAGATGAGTTGAGTAAGATATCTTCGTTAGGTGGTACTACAGTCGGGGGGGGGTCGTCTACTCGTTTGTAGATGGCCCGAGGTATGTCGGGGCACCAGGGACTTCCTTTCTAGGGTATACCTGGTTGATAGGTGTTATCCGAGGGGATATCCGCACGGAAAAAAAAAGGTGGTACTACAGTATGTCTTTTTGTTGTAGGTGGTAGATACACAGAGTTGAATGACAGACCCTGACAAAGAAAGGACAGACGGTCATCGGCACTTGACATCCGTATGTCCTTTATAGATATTTACAACAAAAAGTGTTAAGATAAAGATCTCTTTGAGAAAATCCTAACATTTAATCCACTTACGTATAATCTGAGCTGCCTTAAAGAGTGGATAAATATTTAACAAACATATTTACCTGAAATGGTAGATCCGCCATAGTCTTCGCAAAGTAAAATGCTTTGAGTGAATACCAGTAATTCAAATGTTCTCTCACGAATACGCTCATCTCAGTAGGGACTGTAACAAAGAACAATACCGTTTAGCAAATTAATTAACAAGACATAACATGATCAATAAAATTAATTGTCTAATAAATAAGTTAAGAAGCAATTAAATATTTATGTAGTGTGCATTCAAGCATTTTTTAAGTCAACATTAACACTCTTTGTTTATTTTTCGTGCGTTATAAAATCATGCTTATAAAATCATAAAAATATAATAAAATTTTATAAAATCATAATCATAGAAAACAACACGATAAAAACCAATTGCTGTGACATACACAGCCATTGATTTTTATAGCGTTAATAAATTTAATATGTTCGTAAACAATTTAAAAGCCATTTATCAGGTTTTATTGGAGTATGTTAAAAACCTCAGTATTTAATATTTCGAGGTTTTTCTATTAAAATTTTATAATTATAATTTGGAATAATAAAAAACGTTGATAAAACACATATTATTGTATGATTACTACGTCATTTTACGACACATTTGTATAATTTAATAATACCAATTATCTAGACTAGATAAAAATAGAATAGAATTTAAAAGAATAAGTAATCAACGAATAAAAAATATTATCTGTGTAGTATGGATTAAGATTACCCTATATAGAAAAGTTTGCAATAATTTTAGACCTGTACGTTAAATAATTATTACAAAACTTACATGTTAGAATAGTAGGCATCATAGCAGTAAACATAGTAAACATCACAGTGAAGAATATACAGCCAGCGTTGCTCATAACCTTAGCGGCGTCATGTCCAATATCGTAATACAGAAACCCAATGAGCAACCCCACCACCGTATGAGAACACAACCGAAGATGCGTCAACATTTGATCTCGCAATATGCTCCTAAAAGTTCTCTTCAATAAGATCCAAAATTGCTTCCACCCTGATGTAGGGAAGCCAGTCTTTGTTGGTTTCTTAGCGAAGCTTTCACTGGAGTCTAAGAGTGAAGTGGTGCAGGTAACTGGCGCCAGGTTTGTTGAGTTCGGTAATGCGGCCTGTTTCTCTGAGTTTAAGACAGGTTCCGACATGTCTATCACAGTACAAGTTGGTTTATCTGAAACAATTATTTACGAGATACCTTTAGAATTAAGCTATCTGTATTTACGTTTTACAGAACAAAGTATATCTTCTAACTATCTTTAACTGACTGACGATGCAAGCTATAATAAAATTATAGAATATACGCAAGACTTGCACTGCAAAGAGGAGGAAAACTTGAAACAAACCCAATATCAACCCGTCTGGCCAGCGTGGTATAGTAGGCCAAAACCTCCTTTCTAAGGAGAGGCCTATGTCCAGCAGTGGACTGTTATAGGCTGTTGATGATGATGATTGATGAAATAGCGTTCATCATCAGTTAAGGTCCGGGGTCAAAGAAACAGAAGAATCCTCACCTATCACAATGGCTAGCGCCTCCGCCTTCGCCGTGTTGTTCTTACTAGTTTGGTTGTTGTAGTTGATGTTTTGTGGCACGGATGATGACGATGATGATGTTGATGACTGCCCCCTCCCACAGTTGCCTTTGTTCACTGCTATCACAAGATTTTGTACCCAGTCTCCATGTTCTCCGGTCGCCACTTCCATCACTGGATTAAAAAAAAACAAAACATCACTAAAAATTTGCTTCCACTAAGTAAAAGTTATTTGCTTTAATTTAACCGGAATCGGAATGTTTGTAAAGTCTGAGCAGATTCAATATACAAGGTGTAAAGGAACATCGTACCGTATACTGAAATAGTGTATTCAGACCATGAAAATGATTCGAATTTTCTGCCTCTAAATCATCATATCAATCAAATCAAATCATCTAAATAAATCTACATATGTGTTAATATTCTATTGCTTCATGAGCAGTGCTCTATAAATATTTCAAAGCAATGAATCAATAAATCTTCAATCAATTGGTTGTGTCTTCAATCAATCATGGAATCATTTGAACCAATAAAAGTTCTAATAATAATATATCTCAGTATATATATACGGCAGTCTGATCCTAAACTAGGTAGAACCTGTACTATGGTAACGGGACTGCTGATAATCATACTTATATGTTTTTAAATATATACATATTATAGATAAATTACACCCAGACACAGAACAAATGACCGTGCTCATCACACAATATTTGTCCTGGGTGGGAATCGAACCCACGACCTAGGGCTAAGCAGACAGGGTCACTAACCACTAGACCAACAATGGCCGTCCATGGAGGCCCGTCAATAAATGATTCCATACACCCAAACTCTTCAAGTTCTGTTCGATTATCTTGTTTGTTATTGATGATTTTAATATATACTACTACATAAGGTTAAAAACCAAACAAAACAAATTCAAAATGAATAATAATATTGTTAACTTCTAAAGAAAGTATCCCCGTGTTCAATAATAGATTGTAACTGCATTCTTAGTAGTATATTAATAGTAGGCCAATACCTCCATTCTAAGGAGAGGGCCCTGTCCAGCAGTGGACTAGTAAAGGCTATTGATGGGATGTGTGCATTCTTTATTTCATAATTTTCCACCCTTAGTGGTGGTATTTTCACTTCAAATTTGCATGGGATCACACAAAAAGGACCTATACTCTTCGTCTTAAATGACGTCTTAAATGACGGAGTTTTGAAAAAAAAATTAGCTTCAACGTATATCCAAAGCGGCATTGCTAGGCTCGTATCAAATATGGGTAGGTAGAGGAGGTAACACAGGAGACAGTGGAGGTGAGCGCCGACGCGTCGCAAGGAGTACTCCCTAAACCTATCGCAATTCCCAGGCGCTGTCGAAGTCGCATGTGTTGCCCCCATCTATTAAGCGATGGTGTGGTGACGGATTAAGAATACAGAGTGTCACCACCCCTATTTATCCCGTGGGTGTCGTAAGAGGCGATTAAGGGAGCAAACTACAGGACAACAGCACTGCAGAGAGAAGGAAAACTTGACACAAACCCTATACCAACCCGTCTGGCCAGCGTGGTATAGTAGGCCAAAACCTCCTTTCTAAGGAGAGGCCTATGTTCAGCAGTGGCTAAAGGCTAAAGGCTGTTGATGTGATTAAGCGATGGACCCGGCACCGACAAGGTGAATCCATGGAACGCTAAGAAATTGGTCTTAGCTATACTATTATACTCAGAATCTGCTCCTTTTTTGAACGCTAAGAAATTGGTCTTAGCTATACTATTATACTCAGAATCTGCTCCTTTTTTGAAGTCGGTTAAAATACCAAAGAAATATATGCTTGTTTAGTGACAGTTATAGACACATAACATGTAATACTTTTACTAACAATAAATAAAGAGATTTCTAGATAGATGAGTATGCTGTTTTGGACACTATGAATATGATACATACAATAGAATACATTAAAACAACAGTGGTATAATGGGCAGTCTTATCGCAGTCTGCGATATGTTAGGTGCAACCTACACCGTATAATACTCGTAAGTAGGTAATTTGTGGTGCATATTTGTATACGAGTATAGACTAGCTGGTACCTGCGACTTCGTTCGGAATTTGTAAAGCGCTACCTTAGTGGTTTAAGTCCATGAGGCGTCGGGTTAGATTTCTGGACCGGGCAAAATTGTATAAGGTTTTTCTGAGAGGAAAAATAGCCTTAGTTACTCCTTATATAGAGAGAGCTACCTGGTAGTAAAATATCAAAATCGGTGCAGCCGTTTTGAAGATTATCCGGCACAAACAGACGGACAGACAGACAAAAAATATTTAAACCGTATGAGCATAAAAAACATATTATTTTGACATTACAAACCCACACTTAAATTTTATTTATTTGTATGTACATAGATGTGGCCGTTCTAAAACCGTGTCCTATAAGCACTTGAATGTGAAACGTAACGGATGTAAAACCGAGTTAATACTTTTATAAGAATTTTCCATGTTCGACCTTAATTATATTTGGGCTATACTATATTTAGGTAAAACGCAAATAGGCGTAGCGTTCTAGCTATCAGTAACCATTATCGATTACTAAATTTTATAGCCTTAGAAATAATTATTTGAACGTGTATATAAATTCATGTTTAGAACACATTTCTTAAACTTTTGGCAATAGAATGCCAAGAATTTAATAGACGTCAGAAAATATTCATAATAATGTAGTATTCAAACATTGCTTGAAGATCCGGAATAAAAGTTGGACAGAAATAAATATCTCTCACATTCCGTCTGATCTCAAACTACTACGTAACCAGAATGCTGATAAACATACTTTTATATTTCTAAATACATACATAATTATTACAGATGTAATCAATCTACCCAGATATAAAACAAATGATCGCGCTCATCAGACCATTATCTGTCCTTAGTGGGATCGAGACTACGACCGCTATCATTGTCAATATGGTTAAATTCTACTATGTAAATCCTAACTTACCGTAATCAGCAGGATTGTGATAACTCGGGCAGTGAAGGCTCATTGAAGACAGAAATGGTACTAGTCCGCTCACTCTTCCTTGATATATACATTGACCCTCGGCCAACGTGTACAAAAAGTCAAACATCTCGAAGAGCCTTGCCGACGGTTGATGAATAGTACAAATGATAGTTCTGCCACCACGCGCCAAAGATTTTAACAGCGATATACATTGGAAACAAGACGAACTATCGAGGCCGGAGGTAGGTTCGTCAAAGAACATCACAGGCGGGTTGTTTACTAATTCTAAAGCTATGGACAGCCGTTTCTTCTGGCCGCCTGATAAATTAATTGTTCTCGTGTTCCCAGCTTCTACGAGCCCTAACATTTCCAATATTTCATCTATGACGATCTTCTTGGCAGTGACTGTCATGTCTTTCCCTAATTTTAGATTTGCTGATACGTGCATGGCTTCTCTGACGGTTAGATGAGGGAGGAGGCAGTCATCTTGCATTATGTAACACGATAGCTTTCTAAACCGTCTCAGATTTCTTTCCTTGCCGTTAATTAGGATCGATCCGCTGACATTTGACGTTCTGGAAATGGAAATAGAAAATGATAATACCAATTGGCATATGGATTATTCGTTAGCCGTTGCCTATTGCAACGTTCGAAAAGTTCTAAAAAATAATTAATGGAATTGCACCTTTTCAACAGTATTCAATATATAACGTATGGATCTGCCTGATCTGGGCAATTTGTACAATTTTATGCTGCAAAATAAATTGATCTACGAGTACAGCTCCACGCATGAATTGAATATCTATTCTTTCATTCCCAAAATTATTTGAAATTTTATAAATTAGTTTTAATTGGATTGTACGTTTAACTAATACTCACTTATATCCAGCTAAAATATTCATAAGAGTACTTTTGCCAGCACCAGAAGGTCCCATAATGGCAGTAAGTTCACCAGATCTAAATGTACCGTTTATTCCTTTGAGCAAAGATTTGTAACCTCTCTTTCTTCCTTCGCTAACTGAATATGATAATTCTGAGAACTCGATGTCTACAGGAGGACGTTTGGGTAAATGTGTGAGCGTGGCCATGGGTTTCTTCTGGTCTCCATGTCCGTTGGGTATCTTTGGGAGGGCTGTCATGGCTGCTGTGCCGGCACCACCGTTGCACAAATTTACTTGTGAACCTCTGTAACAAGCGAAAACAATATTTCTAAGAAAATTCAATTACTTTTACTTTGTCTTACAATTTTTCTTTAAATCTATATTACTCTTTTGTAATCAGTCCTTTATTAAGTTTCTTTTGCAAGGAGTACAATTCAATTTTATCTCAGAAGCGTTTCTTTGTCGCCATCTGTGACTAGCATTTTTTTCTTAATGGAAAAAACGCTAGTGTATCTCTTTATGAATGAAATATATGTAGAATTGTTTGAAAATGTTACTATTGTGCAAGCAAGTAAAACTATAACAGTCAATTTATCCAAATGTGAATATGTAAAGAGAGAGTTTTAACAATAAATGGCAACTTTGGAGTTTCAAACAATTTCAAGTAAAAATTTGTGATTAGAATATCATAGTTGACATCACGGTTCGTTCTCCAACTAAGAAGACTATTTTATTTGTAGTAACAATAACTACAGGTATTATCCTGTCTATTATTTCTAATTTTTAGTTCTCTAGAAACCTTATCGAAAATATTTTAAATAACTTTGAATGATAATTTCCGAAATTGCTCTAGCCGTTGTGAACTTAATAGCCTATCAAGGAATGAAACTAAAGATCTGTTGAATACATAAAAGCCAAGTATCCATCGGCTTTAGTAAAGTGCTTCTTATTTAACTGTTTGATAACAATGTTGACTCGTTAATGGGCCGGCTTCACCGAAGTGACACCGCGGCTTTACAGAAAACAGGCATTAAGTATTCCTTCGTTGCTTTTCATGGAGAGAGTGGGGTTGTGGACGAACGGGTGTCATGTGACTCCAACACAAAGTGAAGATCGAGGTAAGGTGATCATGTCTCGCGGTTCGCAGCCAACCGGTTGATATTGGGAAGTTATATATATGCTAATCGGCGAGATAATTTTTTATATCGCGATACAGGATTAGCAATTCTCATTCAGGGGTTACTCCGTAGTTCATGTGTTTTCGTTAGATGGCGCTGTAGTATGTTTCTGTTCCTTGTATGTAGGAGTCGCCTCCCTCCTGGTTCTGGTTGGTGGAGGTTCAAAGGTCGACAATGCACTTGTTCATTGCCGACGGTAGTTACTTACCATCAGGTGATTCGTCTGCTCGTTTGCTCTGCTATACCATAAAAAAATACTAACAACTTAGTACTCAGTATATTGAGCACAAATTGCATTTTAGATAATATTGATCGATTGATGTGATGTAATGCTGCGTAAAATATAGAATAATATATCCTCAATCGTATAAATGAAATTGATAAGAAAAAGCTAATTAAAACTTTATACATATGATACGGTATTTGGTTATCTTGAGTATAAGGAATTCGACACGTAATGCTACATTTGAAATAATAATAGTTTCACACATCTCACACACGGCTGTCTGATCCCAAACTAGGCACACCCTGTACTATGGTAACCAGACCGCTGATAAACATACTTATATATTTCTAAATACATACATGTTATAGATAAATTACACCCAGACACAGAACAAGCGATCGTGCTCATCACACAATTATTTGTCTGGGTGGGAATCGAACCCACGACCTCTGGCGTAGCAGTCAGGGTCACTAACCACTAGACCAACAGGACGGTCAAAATCTATATGAGGAAGTCCTATGATATTCCACAGCTGTCGTAAGTTGTCCTCTAACTCAACTAAATTAAACTTCACAACGAGTGCGTTTAGGCAAAAACGAAACGCATAATATAGAACCGGAATGTTAGGTAATTTTCTTCAATGCTTGGTAACAAATTCATGGGTCGATTAAATCTACTAGAAAACAAACGGTCGGATGATTTCGAAAATAGCATCTTGAGTAATAAGGTTACGAGTTTTTAGTCAATGGTTACCATTTACTCAATCATTCGGGCCTGTTGGTGTAGTGGTTAGTAACCCTGACTGCTGAGCCGGAGGTTGTGTGTTCGATTCCCACCCAGGACAAATACATCATCAATCAAATCAACAGCCTTTAATAGTCCACTGCTGGACATAGGCCTCTCCTTAGAAAGGAGGTTTTGGCCTACTATACCACGCTGGCCAGACGTGTTGGTATAGGGTTTGTGTCAAGTTTTCCTTCTTTTTGCAGTGCTGGTGTCCTGCGTTGTTTTGCGCCTTGATTGAATATCTATAAGTAATTGTGTGAATATCTATACTATGTATGTATTTAGAAATATATAAGTATGTTTATCAGCAGTCTGGTTACAGTAGCACAGGCTCTGTCTAGTTTGGAACCAGGCGGACTTGTTTGAGATGTGTGAAGTTATTATTGTTAGAAAAAGAAAAGAAATCAATACAAAACAATAACTTCTACCCGAATGTTCTGGGTTTTTTTCAAGTTACAGTTTGTTGAGCAGTTGACATAATCTGTTATAGCATTCCAGTTATACTGTCACTCAGAACGTGCTGGCCAGTTGCCAACTGATGTCGTATTGCAAAACATTCTAAAATTTACATATTTGCTTCATTTTCTCTCAAACTGAAAGGTTTATTCTTTTCACCGAGTATTTTCATTTGGTTTGAATCAGCTATTAGAATACTTTTTTGGAGTAGTGTTACTAGGTTTTGGCCACTTTCTGAAATCGTATTTGTAACGATAAACCGCAGTATTGATTTCACGCCTATTACCGTGGTATAGTCAGGCTCCGCACATATGCACTGGATCGACCGATACCACCGTCTTTCAAAAAACCTATATTAAGTAACGTTGCTTTTCACCGAGTGAAATAGACGATCGGAAGCCTAACGACTCACCCTCCCCCTATTCCTGCGGAGTGGGTGGGGGGGTTCATTATACTGGAAACACACGTGAGTTGCAACGGTAGTCAGTTACCAATGGCTACCCCCCCATTTTTTAGGGGGGGTTTCATGAGAACACACTTGAGTTGCAGATGACCAAGAACGGTCGTGAATTACCAACGACTCCCTCACCTATTTCTGGAAGAGAATTACATCAGAACACACTTGAGTTGCAGATGTCCAAGAACGGTAGGCAATTACCAACGACTCCTTCCTCTATTTCTGGAGGGAATTCATAAGAACACACTTGAGTTGCAGATGAACAAGAGCGGTAGTCAATTACCAACGACTCCCTCCTCTATTTCTGGGGGGGGATTTCATAAGAACACACTTGAGTTGCAGATGTCCAAGAGCGGTAGTCAATTACCAACGACTCCCTCCTCTATTTCTGGGGGGGGATTTCATAAGAACACACTTGAGTTGCAGATGAACAAGAGCGGTAGTCAATTACCAACGACTCCCTCCTCTATTTCTGGGGGGGGATTTCATAAGAACACACTTGAGTTGCAGATGTCCAAGAGCGGTAGTCAATTACCAACGACTCCCTCCTCTATTTCTGGGGGGGGAATTCATAAGAACACACTTGAGTTGCAGATGAACAAGAGCGGTAGTCAATTACCAACGACTCCCTCCTCTATTTCTGGGGGGGGATTTCATAAGAACACACTTGAGTTGCAGATGTCCAAGAGCGGTAGTCAATTACCAACGACTCCCTCCTCTATTTCTGGGGGGGGATTTCATAAGAACACACTTGAGTTGCAGATGTCCAAGAGCGGTAGTCAATTACCAACGACTCCCTCCTCTATTTCTGGGGGGGGTTTTGCACATGGATGTAAGTACCGGTAATATTTAGATAGATAGATAGATAAATACATTATTTGTACACCAGGGTTTAACTAACATTATAAAGTAATTAACAACAGATGTAATGTACAAAGGGCGGCCTGATCGCTTAGTGCAATTTCTTTCAGGCAACCTTTCATTCACATTCATTTTCACTCATTCATTATAATATTGATCCAACAGTGAACTAAGTCTAAGACCTAACTACTAAACTCTCTGGCAAATAGAATCTGCGAAGATTAACTACGTATGAATAGCTTATAATTAGACGACTTAAAAACCCCGACGTATACCAATTTAAATGAATAATGGTTGAAATTGTTTCACAATCAGGTCACCGGAGCAGCGAATTGGTTTCAATAGTTTCATTCAGACATTCACCCTGCCTCTCTGCATTTAACCTCGTGTGGAAATAGCAGCCAGTCAGTTTTGGAGTACTATTTTAGAAGTTTTCTCACTTTTACAGTCTGAGCTTGTAACTGACAATTATCAATGAGACATTATTCCATGAATATCTGTTACTTCGGCAGGTACACATTGGATAATGAAACTGTATTGGATTTCTACATTGCATTGCAAACGAAAATGCCTATACTTTTACCTGACTTCGCCAGATGGTTATATTTTTCGAGTACATGTATGCATGTTTTTTTGGCACGCTCCGTAGTTTTAGACTGCAGAGCGGCTCGATGGATTTTGGCTTAGGAGTTGTCGTTAGATTCGTCTATTAATGGCAACTTGGAGCTCTATGAGCGAAAAAATCTCCCAAAAGACACTTTTTTTTCTTAGCAACCGTCATCATTCTTTCATCAGCCTTTAATAGATTTTGGGATACTATACCACGCTGGCTAACGGGTACCAACCCCTCTGGCCAGCTTGGTAAACAAACTGTATACCATAAGGTTTGTTTTCAGTTTTCCTTCTCTTTGCAGTGTAGTTGTCCTGCGTAGTTTGTTCCCTTAGTCGGCGTCACATGGTGACACTCCGTATTCTTAATCCGTCACCACCCGGATGAAACAACAAAAGTTAGCTACTAGTGAAAGAGAATTAGAACAGTTAGTTTATACTGTGATATGTTATCACATATCAAATAACCGTATCAACATTTTAAGATCTGATAATAAAGATGACGCAGAATCAAGTTTTACGATATGTCACTAGATATTACTATACTTGGAATACATAACATTAATACTACCAACTACACAATTATGTCAATATCTTATCAAAATTACCTTCTGAACAAATTTACGAGTTACTGATAAATCAATCAATCGTAGCAGCAATGACACCAATAAATCTGTGCTTAATTCAGTTGAAACATACATTGTTTTGTTACCACATACTACCTACATGCC